CTGCCATACAACGACAGACTTCACATCTTCATAAAGACACTTGACAAAGCAAGTTTCTCAATTCAAGTGTTTGTGTGAGGTCTGAGCAACTGGCTTATCTTCTAAAACAATTGGTGGTTCCAAAATCAGGAGATCATCTTCCCCAAAGGAAGAGTTCTGGTCCGTGTTGATGAAGTTGGGGATGTCACATTTCATGAGCCTGTTCGGCTCCTCCTCTGGCCACCTGCTGCATCTGATGGCTTCCTGGAGCTGAATATCACTGTCAAGGGTAACGTTTGAGATACCAGCTTTGGCCTTGTCCAAGTGGTCCACTTCATTGACATAGCAGTGAAAGAGGGACCTAGATTTGTCATTGCACTGCCAGAGAACACCTTGGGCACCAGCGGTCTTCCAAAGTCTGACACAAAGCTGTTCAATCTGAATCTCTTCTCGGGAGACTCTGCATTGCTATAAAGAAAACCAAAATAAAGATCGCTCACACTCTAGCTCGGTGACCTGAAGAATAATAGTTTTTGCCATCTACTGAGTGCAAGTCCCTGCACAGAGCATGCTTACAAGCACTGGAAGTGAGAGACATCACTTCTGAACACATACAATTAAACTCAAGACAAAAGTCTCAAGTGAGGGCCCTTGGACATCCTGAAAAGACATTTTTCCCTGAGAATCCTCAATATTGCTGTATCGTACAACACTGTTTCTCAATGGGACACTCAGATCATCTTCATCAGAATTAGTTAAAGTGCATCTTAAAATGCAGAATTCTGGGGTACAGACACTCAGCGTCTCCAGAGGTAGGGACCGGTAGTCTGTATTTTCAGATCCACCAAGATCACTAAACATGCTCAGGTTTAACGCCGCCGTCTACATCGGGTCACCTGAGCATCGACAATGCTGTCTCATGGGGTGGGGGGGTGTCATGTGCGTCAGGGTGCTGTCCTACCCACGAGACTCCCCTGATTCTCAGAACTGACAGTGCTGCCCCATTGGGCAAGAAATACCACCATTTCACAATGCATACGCAGGGCACCCAACTGACAGATACAATCAGTGATAGGAGAGGGGACAAAACTCAGGTTCATCATCCCTTGTTTCACTTACTATGGGACAAATGATCAATTCAAGGGTAATAAATCAGTGAACGAGTGAATAACATGACTGTCGTTAGTCCCACGATTGCCTAGAAGAGCGAGCCTGGGCACACTGAGAACCATAACAGCCCATCTACTTAATTGCCATCCTTCCCAGATTTGTGTAAAGGTTACTTCCACCCAGGCAGTGACTCCTGAAGGGCAAGAATCATGCCTGAACACACTCTCAAATCCAGAACAGAACCTGACAACAATTAGGCTCTGGAGTCTGTGTTTAGTGAGTGTGGAATCTCAGTGATTCCAGCTCTTACACCTTGCCTTCCCATCCCACCCCTCACGATATGGCCCTTATGACCAGTTCTCCCGGGGCTGGGGCCATGGAACCCATTTACAGGACTGGAAGAATCTGATCATGTAAACCATCCCCCAGAATATCATCAAGAGTCACCTGCATTTCAGGGATCAATAATCCCAGAAGATTTGCAGTTCAGGCAGCTGAGGGATGTTTATATCAGCTCTGTCTTCTACTGTGACTGCCTGGGTGACATCAGACAAGGAATTCTCAAAAGCCTAAGCTTTTCCTTTCAGCAATAATCTGCTTAACAAATCTCATTGACCATTTAACAAGTGTGATGTGAATATCAATGATTTACACAGGAGTACAATATTCACTAGGTCGTGGATTTTGAATTGGGGAAAAATCATTTGAGAAAGATTGACAGAATGTAGCTTTAAAGCAAATTTAAGTATTCTTAGCTTTCAGTAAATCATCTTCTTCCCCTATTTATCACTTCACCCAAGTTTAAAAGATGTTTGAAAACAGGGATGGGTGTGCCAGCAATCTGTGACCCAATAACCTAAAATGTCACCTAGGAAATAGAGGGGAGTAACACATTTTTAAAAAATATGGTGAGGACAGCGGGGCCATCCCTCAGCTCCACACTAACAAGCTCTGAGTAATAGCTTTCCTGCCTGCCTTGGGCATCAGCTGATGTGAAAACCCACCTACAAATCACTATCCAGCAGCTCTTCCGTAACACAGGCTACACTTTCTCAAGATTAAGAATTGGGTCAAGTAATCCCTTCGCTGAAGAACAAAGACAAAGGAGAACAAGAGAGTTCTTCGCCTCCCCAGGGGTGAGCCCAGAACTTGGGCTGCATGAACAGCGCCCACCTCCCAGGAGAAGGATAAACTGGAGAAGGACGTCCTGCGAAACTAGGGAAGCAATGGTAGAGATGGGAACAAATAAACCAGCTGGCCTGGGACAGCCCCCTCCATCGCTGCCTTGGGGGCTGCCTCCGCCCCCTCAGCACATTCTGCCCACCTCAGGTGGCTAAACTGTCAGGGAAACTATGCTTTGCGACCTGGGGCAACAGAAGCTGCCCCCAGGCCAAGCTGCTGGGGAGATGGGAGCTAAACCACTACCTCCCAAGTGGCAGGCTCCATAAACTCGCCACCACCCCGCCGCCCCCGCACCTTAACGCACCCCCGGGGCAATATGACCCTGAGAAGTGTGACCTGGGAATGAGGGGCAGCAGAGGCCTTCCCCAAGTCAGGCCTCCAGAGAGATGGGAGGTTTTCCTCCAGCTCGCAATAGGCAGCACCCCTCTCCTCTCCACCCCCTGATCTCACCACGCCCACCTCCCAGGAGCAACCTGACCTGGTGTGGTGTGTCAGGCGAATCTTGGGCAGGAGAGGCAGTCCCTAGGCCAGGTCATAGGAAAGGAGAAGAAGTGGCCCCATTAGGCAGCTGCGAAGTCCGGCTGCCCCTGCCCCTCGACCTCATCGCATCCGCCTCCCAGGAGCAAGCTTACCTGGAGACAGGCATCCGGCTTCTTGGGAAGCAGAGGACGCCCCCAGGATTGGCCGCGGGGAAGAGGGGAGCAAATTGACAAGCTCCGCGCCGCAGGTCCTCTACCCACGCCGTCGCCACCCTCTCACCTTAAAGGCATGCCCAGGGCATGGGACAGGTGTGTCTGGTGATCTGGGGCAGGAGAGGCCACTCCCACACCAGGCCATCAGGGAGACGGTAGCCAATCCACCAACTCCCCAAGGCATCCCCATCCCCCCGCAGCAGCCACCGCTCCTGCCCCCTGACCTCACGGTGTCCTCCTCTAGGGAGCAGGCTGACTTGGAAATGGACGTCCGGCGAACTTGGGGCAACAGGGAACGCCCCCAGGACAAACCATGAGGGGAAATGGGAGCAAATGGACCAGCTTCATGGGAAAGCCGGCCGCTGCTGCCACCACCCCCAA